AGACAGACAGACAGACAGACAGACAGACAGATTTGGCAACAAATGCTGGATAGGGAATTATGGGAGCCAGTTTTTTTTAAAAAAGGAACTTTGCAATGGTCTGGTATTATGCATCTTACTGCATTTCCTGTCTTGGCAGGGGATTGGCTTGATAACTCTTGGGGTTCCATTTCTGCACCTCTATGAATCAAGGATTCAGTGGCCTTCCAGAAATATCTACTTCCATTTTATCTTGCAAAGGCTTAAGGGAGCTCAACTAGGTGCTGCCCTGAAGAAAATATGTGGTAGAAATAAATGAGGAAGAGAAATTCCTCTATAGAACTGAGGGCTGGTCTGGGCAACATAACTTTCCATTTGCAGCCTCTGTTCTCCACTGCTTTCCCCACCTTCTTCTTTTCTACCACCAAAAAAAAAAAAAAAAAAAAAAAAAAAAAAACCCTGTTAAAGAGGAAAAGATGGGATGGGTAACAATGTCTTTTGACTAATAGTAATAGGGACTCAAACACATTAAGTCAATTAAAACATACCCTACAAATTCAGGTCATAATCCTATGTAGATCTTCCTCTTCAGGTGGTTTTTATACAGCAAGTTATCTCAGGAATTATGGTTTCTAAATGTTTTTGAATTGGTTTTTAAACTTGATTTGTAATTAAATATAAGTCTTTAAAAATATGATATTTATATAGTGATTTTGAATCTGTTGTATTATCTGTTGTAAGCAGCACTGGGTCCCCCCTATGGGGAGAAAGGCGGCATATAGGTAATTAAAATAATAATAGTTCACCTCAAATTAAAGAAAATACAAAAACAAAATTTAAAAAAGAGCATAGAAATTAAACAACCAGGTAGAAGTACTATGTTAAGGAAGAGATTCATGAAGACATCAATTAGATAGAACACTAAGGTAGCACAGATGTAAATATGACTTGCTCAAAACTGGTAGAGATGTTAGTAGATGTGACTAACAATAACCTCAAAAGCAGGAAATAATTTTCAAAAAGAAAATTAGACAAAAGAAATATCAGAATAAATGAAGTGAGATGACAATGAAAAAATAAAAATGATAATACTGTACAGAGAATTACATGCACAAAAATCCAAAATAAAATTAGAGAACCCCCCACAAAAATTTAGTCTTAACAGTTTGCAGAAACAGAAAATCTAGAGAAGAACCAAGATTGCTCTAATATGCATTTCAAAAAACCAAGGTAATGTTCAACAAATGGCCACTATAATAGATAACAATAATTCCCTGACAGTTGATGTCAAGGATAACATTGTAATGTTGGGTGACTGTATTGAACAACTGTTTCCAAACAAGATTTATCGCACCAACTGTCAATATGGGACCAGAAATACAGAAATCTGCAAACGCAACATGGCTATCAAAAACTGGAATAGCTCCTGGACTCAATGGTCTTTTCGCAGGAGTATGATACCTAACAGAGGATGGTGGACTTAGATGTTTAATTATTTTTTTTCCAATCGAATATACAAAATAGAAATTATTCCTAAAATTTGACTTATATAGACCTTTATTACATTATCTATTACATAATCTAAGCTTATGAGGACTACAAAATGTTAAGCTTAATTTTTACAAGAGTAAAAAAGGGAGAGAAGACACACAATTTGCACTTAGAAAAAGATTTAGAACCAGGATAGCCCTTTTCTGCATACTTAGACAAAGGAATAAATAAGATGACATGAATATGAATATGGATGCTTTACTGACCATGAGAAAGATACTGACGAAGTCCAACATGGCAAGATGATGAACTTGTTGGTAAATAAATATGTATAACTGGTAACTTTTATTGGCCTTAAAATGCTGCTGTGAAAGATGAGGACCAGATGACAGGAATATGAAGAAGGGTATGACAAAGATGTATATTCTAAGAGCATCTTTAGAATAGCACCTACTGATTCAAATGATGGCCCATTGTCAATGGAGAAATTTTCAGTATCATCTGATATGCAGTGTACAGTATTGACAACTGAAAGAGTAAATGTTACTTAATAAAAGACAACAAAGTCAATGAGGAACATGGTCTGAAAATGAATGTCAAGAAAACTGTAACAATCAATAAAAAGCAACCCAAGAAATAAAGTTGAAGATCCAGCTTGAAAGTGTAAAGCCTGTTGACAAGTGTAAGTATTTTGAAATTTGTCAGAATGAGCAGTTAGGACATAGCTATGAAGTACTAACAGAGATGGCCTGGAGCAGCTTCTTGATAAAGAACAAAGTGAAGATGAAGAACAAAGTGAATTTGATTTAAATCACAATGTAAATCAGTATTGAAACAAGACTTAATTGTGAGGTAAAATAAATGGGGAAATAAATGCAAGAAGGAAAAGACTATATTTGCTAAAGAACCTTGGAAACTGTTTTGGATTCTGCACAATGTAATTGTTTAGAACTGCCATATCTGAAGTCAGTATGGCCAAGATGGCATCCAACATTTGGCAGAAGAGGAAGCTGAAGAGGGGAGTTGGAGGAAACGACCCTGAGACGTCTCTGTTCAAGAGCTCCTGAATCACCTGGCCCTGAAGAATGCCAACAATGAGTCTGTAAACTTGATCTGTCCTTGTAGCGCAGACAAGTGTCCTTCAATGCAGTCCTCCTCACCTGATTTCCATGGGACCTTTTGGTCACCTCACTAGTGGTGCCAAGAAGTAGCTCCCCCCCCCGGTCTTTTTCTCCTTCTTTGAATTATATGTTTTTAATTTCACTGTACAGGCAAGACACAATTACAATTTGAAGCACAACACGCGGCCCTTGTTATTTCAACAGTAATGGTATACAACATTAAAAGCTTGTTGCTGTTTCAGCAATCATTTTGTCTCAGATTTTATTATAGGCGAGAGATTTAAGAAATGTCTGTCTTAAAGGACACCTGGCCTAGGACCTGAAGAAGAGGCAGGGAGGCCTAATGCATTATGAAGGCCTGCCTCCCCCCCCAGAGATTTAAGAAATGTCTGTCTTAAAGGATACCTGGCCTAGGACCTGAAGAAGAGGCAAGGAGGCCTAGTGCATCATGAAGGCCTGCCTCCCCCCAAAAAAACACACCCAAACCCAAAACTAGTAGAACAGGCCTATAACATTTTAGGGAGCCCTAACACAAAATAGTCATCTCTGCCTCCAGGTTTATGGGTCAGGGGCCTCTTCCTTAAGGTCTCGGGTACAGAAGCACCTTCTCCTTGTCCTCTTGCCTCCTGCCAGTGTTGTCAAGAGTGGCTGCCTGGTTTTAGTGCCATCTCGGTATGAAGATTTTCTCTCCCTCCGCCCCCCGCCTCCGCCCCCCAATCCTTGGAAGATGGAGAGACACCCAATCCGTCATTTAGGCCCCAGGCTAAAAAGTGCCCGCCTGGCCCATCACCCTGGACCAAATCCAGCCTGCAGGCCTCCTTCCGAGGCAGGATCAGCGGCGCCCACCTCTCCTCTCCCCGCAAAGCCTCCCGCTTCTGCCCACCCCTCCGTCCCCAAACTGCAAGGAGAGCCAGGATCAAAGCCCCCGCCGCGGCTCCCGTTGAGTAGCAGCCACCCGGCATTATCCTTCTTCTTATTGCGATGAGCATCGATAAAGGGAACGGGGGAGGGAAGACGAGGAGCAAAATCACTATAGAAACACAAACGACCACAGCCCCCGCGAGTGCGCAGCTAAGCAACCTACCGCCTGCCTCTCCCTTCATGGCGTGATTGGATCGGGATGCTCTGGCCGCCCTGAGCTTATCTGGGTGTTTGAGCGGAGGGAGGGGGGTGTATGCATTTAAAAAATAAAAAATAAATAAAAAGTTGTCCTCCCCGCGACGTCGGTGAGCAGAGAGGGCGTGACCCAGAGGACAGGGAATGGAAGAAGGAACGGCACCCAGGCAGCGAGGAGAGAAGGGCGAGCGGCGCTGGCAGGTTGCTCGCTTGCTTGCTGGCTTGCTCGCTCGCGCTGCAGCCTTGCAGTCGCCCAGCAACAGCTGCTCCCCGCGAGCATCCACCGGCGCCGGGAGAAGAGCGAGCGCGAGGCGAGCGCGCGAGATGATACGCGCGGAGGGCGCCTCCCGTCACAGGCGGGAAAGAGGGCCGCTTCTGAGGTGAGGCTGGCATGGGTCGCGAGCCTCCTCTCTCTCCCTTTCCACCCGCGAGCCCAGCCCTGCTTCCAGCACCACCTGGAAAGAGGGTGGGAAGTAGAAAAGGTGGGAAGGAGGGGCAGCCACCTCTTCTGGTGTGCTTGAGGTCTTCCTGTAGAAAATGTAGCAGGAGGATAGCAGCCAAGATTTCAGATTGCACTAACGAGAGAGAGAGAGAGAGATCACAAACAGGAAGGGAGGGCACCTGTCCTCCTTGTGTACTTTACCCTCTCTTTCTGGACCAGATCCATCCCATGACGGCTCTTGATAGGCTTCTGAAGCATTGAACTCCCAGGGTGCAATCCATTGCATGGAGGATTTTGCTAGGTTCGACCAATATTTAGCATCAAGGTCCGAAGGACACAAATCTGTATAAAAATTGCATATGCTAATATGTAAATATTGTATGTATCCAGGAATAGATTGAGGATACTGAAAAATAAATTTGATGCTGGGCATCAGGTCATAACAACTCCTAGCTAGGAACCTGAAGGAGGAGCAGATCTCACTGAGGATAAACATGACCCTCCCCAAGTGAAGGGTCTATGAATAACTTTTATTGAAGAGGTCTTCAGACCATTTCAAATACTGTACACAACATACAAAAACCCAAAGACTCCCAGCCCATGAGCGAAAGGACACATTTCAAAATCACTAAATCACACATAGTAGACGAAGGGTATATGTTTACCCATGAGCTCTACTATTTGGCCTCCAATAACAAGATTAAGATCAGCTGGTCAAGACTGTCAAAGGTGTTAGATGTGCAATGAAAAGAATTTCCTTTGTTTCTGGATAAAATCTAAAATTGCTTCTACTCCTTTATATTTGGAAACTGGATTTGGGGAATATATCTCTTTTAAATGTAACACTGTATATGGTTTTGCTTTCAATCTGTGTAACAGATAATGAGTGTTTGATACGGATGTTCAGTTGATGATATTTGAAGTCCTTTCCTGTTTGTAAATATATTTCCTTATGCTTTAAAAGAATTTGTGTGAATGCAACTCCATAATATAAAGGTTTGCCAGGTTGTTAAATAAGACTTTCTCCAGAACTTTATCTTACGTAAAGATAAAGGTTCCCCTTGACAATTTTTTTGTCCAGTTGTGTTTGACTCTAGGGGGCAGTGCTCATCCCCGTTTCCAAGCCATAGAGCCAGTGTTTTGTCTGAAGACAATCTTCTGTGGTCACATGGCCAGTGCGACTTAGACACGGAATGCTGTTACCTTCCCACTGAGGTGGTCCCTATTTATCTACTCGCATTTGCATCCTTTCGAACCGCTCGGTTGGCGGGAACTGGGACAAGTGACGGGCGCTCACTCCGTTGCGTGGATTCGATCTTACGACTGCTTGGTCTTCTGCCCCTGCAGCACAGGCTTCTGCGGTTTAGCCCACAGCGCCACCACATCCCGAACTTTATCTTATGTGGTACCAAATGTAAGTAGTGGAGAGAACTCCAAAATTGGGGGGGGGGTGTTTCCTCATGGACTCAGCTGTTTTTCGTCTCCCTGTTCCTAGTAAATTGTTGTATCTGTTTTCAAACAAACAAGAACTACTGTGGTAGAGTGGACAGAGTGTCAGACTAGGACTCAGGAAGTCTGGGTTCAAATCCCTGCCTGGCCATGGAAACTCACAGGGGCACATAACAAATTTCCAAAGTCTATACTGAAGGTTGACCAAAGAATCACAAAATACTGTGAGAGGCCAAAAAAATGTGGTAGTTTTTGAGATGATCTAATCAGGCATGATGTTCAAAGTATAGCGGAAAGGATGTGTGAAAAGGAAGACAGCTTATCTTAATAATAATAACTTTTGAACTGCAGAGTTGGAGGGGACCTATGGATCATAGGGCCAGCCCATCACAAGGAGACACAGTGGGGAATTGAGCTCTGGAGCCAGAGAGGTTGGGAGTTCAATTCCTAAATCACTGAGCTATCCAACATCCCTTGTTGCTTGTCTGCTTCAAGATGTTGGTTAGGCATCCTTCAGTCTTGAGAGACTGTGGTATCGTGCTCTGTATGGAGGACTTGGAACAGCGTCTAGTGTGGCTGAGAAGGCCAATTCAAGAGTGACAATCCATTCCACACTGAAGACAAATCCAATCCGTACCCTGTCTAGCTCCCTGATTTTGCTGCTTTTGTGACTGCCTCTTTGCCTCGGCCCACTGGACAAGGTTCTCTTCAAATTGGGAGAGGCCGTGATGCACCGCCTGCCTCCAGGCTGAACGCTCAGATGTCAAGGTTTCCCATTTGTTGAGGTCATTCCTAAGACCTTCAGATCCTGCTTGCAGATATTCTTGTATCGCAGCTGTGGTCTTCCTCTGGGGCGCTTTCCTTGCACTAATTCTCCATACAGGAGATCTTCTGGAATCCGGCCATCAGCCATTCTTACAACATGCCCAAGCCAACATAGACATCACTGTTTCAATAATGTATACATGCTAAAAATTCCAGCTCATTCTAGGACTACTCTGTTTGGAACTTTGTCCTGCCAGGTGATACCAAAAATGCGTCGGAGACAACGTATATGGAATGTGTTCAGCTTCCTCTCCTGCTGTACACAGAATCCAGGACTCACTGCAGTACAGGAGTGTACTCAAGACACAGGCTCTATAGACCTGGATCGTGGTGTATGCCGTCAGCTTCTTATTGAGCCATACACTC